TAATTAAGAATAATTCAAATTTGAAGACATGGCTCTAACATCTCACGTTCAATCAAAATACGCTAATGGAAACCCAAACTCAACCACACAGCACAGCGCAGCCCACCCCCGTCAGGCACAGCTTGGCGCGGGCGGTGGCGCGGGCGGTTAAGCGGAGGGCTGCAGCTCCACAGGGAACAGGAGCACAAGATGAGGAAGAAGTGCGTCTTTTTGCTTTGATATTAAAAAAGAATGCACTAGAAGAATCAAAATGCGAAGAAAATTTAAAAAATTATTTGGAAACATTAAAAAATGCAACATTAGAACCAAAAAATGTTCACAAAAAGCTTAATAACTTAAACGAAAACGAAAAAATCAAAGCAAAATGTAAAGAAATAAAAACAAAGATTCAAGATAAGTGTACTGAATTCGAAAGAAAGATCGGAGATGAAGTTAAAAAACAAAGCGCAAAATTGACAAATGATGATTGCAAAACAAATGAACAACAATGTCTATTTTTGGAGGGAGCATGCCTTAATGATCTTACTGAAAATTGTAACAAATTAAGAAATTTGTGCTATCAGAAGGAACGTGAGAAAGTAGCAGAAAAAGCTCTTTTAAAAGGACTTAGTGGTGCTCTTAAAAATGAAGGCACATGTAAAAAAAAAATAGAAAACGTATGTATTTTTTTGAAACAAGAAAGTGACGAATTGATGATATTATGTCTTAATCAAGAAACTACATGTAACACTCTTGTAGAAAAGGCAAAGTCTAAATGTAGTTCTCTTAAGCAAAAAATTGAAAACCTATTAACTAAAGACAATGAATTAGAAAAAAAATGCTCACAGTTGCTTAGTGAATGTTACTTTTACGGTCAAAATTGTGAAAATGATCCACCAAAATGTGATAATTTAGAAAAGAAATGTAAAAAAAAAAGCATAATCTATACAGCAATGGACTCAAATTTTGACCCTACAAAACCAGAAACTACACTAACAGAAAAAATAGGCCTAGAAGATCTCTATACTGACGCATTAAAAAAGGGGGTTTATATTGGAAGACTCCCTCCAAAGAGGGAGGTTGCTTTACTGGCATTATTGACCTTAGATTTGAGTGATTCAAATAAAGTTAGTGATAGAAAACGAAAATGTGAACAGCTTCTTGAAGAAATATGCAAAGATCCGCAAAAGCATAAGGTTTTGCAAGAATTATGCAAAAATAAAGCAATAACTGAAGAAGGGAAAAAAAAATGCAAAGAACTAGATAAAGAACTTGCGGAACATGCTCAAGACGTTTCTAAAAAGATAATCAAATATCTTATCACAAGCAGCCCAAACAAACTTACTAGTTGGCACGAATTATATACATTTATTAGTAAAAAGGAATGTGTAAGATTGCAGTCTGACTGTTTTTATTTAAAAGGCCAAGATTCACTTGAAAAACTCTGTGATAACCTAAAAGCAGCCTGTTATAAAAAAGGGCTTGAAGCAGTAGCAAATGAAGCATTACAAGATAAGTTACGGGGAAAGTTGCATGGATCAAATGGAACATGGTTTGAAAACCTTCAAAAAAGCTTGGTAGAAGTATGTAAGGAGCTAAAAGGAAAAAGCGATGAACTATTTGTGTTGTGTGTGCAGCCAAAAAAAGCTGCTCTTGTACTTTCAACAGATTTGCGATTTAGAGCTATTTTTCTACGAGAACAATTGAATGAAAAGCGAGATTATCCGACGGGGAAAGACTGCATAGAGCTTAAAGAAGAGTGTAGTGTTTTAATTCAGGATTCAGAGGAGATTAAATGGCCATGCAATACACTAAATGAACATTGTATTCGATTAGAGGGTATAAAGCAATTAGAAAAAGAATTGTTAGAAGAAAATAAAGGGTATTTAAAAGATGAAAAGAAATGTAAAGAAGAGGCTGGAAAACGCTGCGAAAAATGGCTTAGGAGAGGAAATAACAAGTTTTCTTTTGTATGTTCTGTTTTAGAGCTTGCTTGCATGAAGATCACTGCAAATGTTAAATCTAAGTGCAATGCATTAAAAGAACATATGAAAGCCCGTAATGTTATAACTGAAGCAGCCAATAAAGCTACAATGGAAAAGACATGTAGGTTTTGGACACCATATTGTCAAAAGTTTATTTCCAACTGCGATGATCTTAAAGAAGATGGAGGAAATGACGGTGATTGTAAGAAACTCAATAAAAACTGTGAGTTATTCTTTGAAAAGAAAAAGATAGAAGATAAAGCAATTGATGAACTAAAGGGTAGTCTATTAAACAATACGGGTTGCGAAGAAACTCTTAAGAAATATTGTACACAATTAAATAATGCAACCAATGGACTTGAAACTTTATGCAAAGAAAATGGTAAGGACGAAGCTGATGTTAGAAAAGAACAATGCAAAAAACTGGTTAAACAAGTGCAAGAAAAATGTTTAGGATTAAAGAATGAGCTTACAGAGATAAAGAATGACTTAGAAATCAAAGAAGAAAAGTATAAAAAGATTAAAGAGGAAGCAGAGAAAGCCATGGAAAATGCAAACCTTATTTTATCGAGAGCGAAAGGACCTGATAATAATAATAAGTCAGTAAATAAAGACTCATCTAATGCACCTAAGGAAGGGAAAGGCACAACAGGATTTAAACTTGTAAGAAGAAATGAAAAAGTGCATGTAACAGAAAAAGAATTAACAGCATTTGATTTGGTAGCAAGGACATTTGATCTCTATCTAGAATTGAAAGAAATATGTAATCATTCACTGAAGAATTGTGGTTTCAAAAAAGAGTGTGACTGTGAGGATCCATGTAAAAAGATACAGGGAATATGTTCAACATTAGAGCCACTAAAAGTGAAACCACACGAAATAGTAACTAAAAACATAACAACCACAACCACAACGACGACGACAACAACCGTTAAAGACGTAAAGGCAACAGACTGCCAATCTCTACAGACAACAGACACGTGGGTCACAAAAACATCAACACATACTAGCACGTCCACAACCACATCCACAGTCACGTCAAGAATAACACTCACTTCGACAAGGCGGTGTAAGCCTACGAAGTGTACGACAGGAGAGGAGGATGATGCAGGAGAGGTGAAGCCGAGTGAAGGGTTGAGGATGAGTGGGTGGAGTGTGATGAGGGGGGTGCTAGTGGCTATGATGATTTCATTCATGATTTAGATGTAAAATGGGAATGGGATATAAGAGCAGCATGTATATTTACTAGATGAATGAGGATAGGGCAGGAAAGAGTAGAGTATGATCTCTTCAGCATCAATTGAAAGTGCATTACACATAAAGTAGCGTGTTTCCTGTGCAAATAGCCTGTATTGCCCGGATGAGTGGCCGCTGTTTGTTGTGCCATGTCGTTATCAGCGCATTCAGCGCCTACCCCGGATTTGC